AACCTTCAAGACATTCGTGGCTCATCGCTTGGCGGAGATAGAAGATCTCACAAAACCACAGGACTGGAGATGGGTACCGACGGCGCAGAACCCTGCAGATGATGCAACACGTGACGTACCAGAACACTTCGACTGCCAACACCGATGGTACACCGGACCAGGGTTTCTAAGAAGAGATGAAGTTCACTGGCCTGCGGCAAGAACATTCAAGAAAGAAACCACTGGCGAAGAAAAGGCAGCGGACATCGTAGCGACTGCAGGCAGCTCCTATCCATCACCAGATCCCGAAAAGTTCTCGTCGTGGAAAAGACTTTGGCGAGCTACAGCAAGAGTACTGCAGTTCATACAACTCTGCAGAAGAAAGGAAAAGGTCCACGCCAGCAAAGAAGATCCTACCTGGAAAACTACAAAAAGGAATAAGAAAATTGTTGAGAAGCGACATCTGTCTTTAAAAACGTCAGAAAGGAAATACATACCATTGGAAACAAGTCTACTAGAGCAAGCTGAAACGCTGTTGTTAAGAAGAAGTCAAGAGAAATGCTTCAAAGAGGACATCAGGTGCCTACAGCAAGGAAAACAATTAGAGGGCAGCAGCAAGTTGAAAAGGCTCGACGTAGTGCTAGAAGAAGGTCTCCTGCGACTGAAAGGAAGAATCGACGCGATACGAGGGGTTACCAGAGACTACAAACGACCCATCGTACTCGACAGCAAGGACAAGACAACACTTCTCATCATAGAAGAATTTCACTGCCGCTTCAATCACGGGAATCACGCGACCGTAATGAACGAAGTAAGACAACGCTTCTGGGTGCTAGGACTGAGGTCAGCGATCAAGACCATTCAACATCAATGCCAGTGGTGCAAAACAAGAAAGGCAAGACCTCAAGAACTACCAGTGGGCAACTTACCTGCTGAGAGGCTGATGCACGGAAACCCTCCATTTACGTGCACGGGAATAGATTACTTCGGCCCTATGACGATCACCGTAGCAAGACGCCATGAGAAGAGATGGGGTGCTCTATTCACATGCTTAACAACACGAGCTGTACACATTGAGCTCACTCCTTCACTCTCCACTGACAGCATGATCATGGCACTACGACGATTCGCCGCGAGAAGGGGAATGCCAAAGATAATCTACACCGACAATGGCACTAACTTCGTTGGCGCCAACAAAGAACTCAAAGAAGCACTAGACACCATGAAGCAAGAAGACCTTATCTCGGAAGCGGAGAAGATCGGTGTGCAGTGGAAGTTCATACCTCCTGGTGCACCAAACATGGGAGGTGCATGGGAGCGTCTGGTGCGATCCATTAAAACCGCACTGGACGCCACGCTCAACAAAAGGCAACCACGAGAGGAGGTACTTCATACCCTCCTGTTAGAGGCCGAGCACATAGTCAACTCTCGGCCCCTCACCCACCTCTCCGAGAACCCTGAAGAAGAAGCACTTACACCGAACCACTTTCTCATCGGGCGATCATGTGGCGCAGCAAGAATCGGCAGCTTCGAGGACAACGAGCTTGTGGGCAGACACACCTGGAAGGCTACGCAGCGACTTGCCGATCACTTCTGGCAACGTTGGCTGAGAGAGTATTTGCCCACTCTACTACCAAGGAAAACCAAAGGAAGAGTCAGCGCCACAGATTTGCAAGTCGGAGACATCGTACTGATCGTCGATCACAGCCTACCAAGATGCATCTGGCCACGCGGAAGAATCCTGCATGTGTATCCTGGACCAGACGGGCGGACCAGAGTCGTCGACGTCGAGACCAGAGGAGGTGTTCTACGGAGGCCCAGTTCGAGAGTGGTGCTGTTGGTGCCGGGAGCGTCGCCGAGTCCAGGAGTTGGTGCAAAGCACGAGGGGGAGAATGTCGGCGACGGAAAACCTATCTTCGAGTAACGTGTGTATTAATATAGGGACAATGTCATTTTAGCGTATTATGAATAATTGTTGTAAATATGAAATCTCATTCTTATTAGATTTATTATGTTAAAATAAGTTCTAATTAGTGTAATAAGGTTAGTTTAGAGTATTTTTTGCTTATTTGAATCATATAAGACTATTTAACATTAATTTGAAAGGAATAGGTACGTAAGTAAAATGTTAGCATATAATTACGTAACTTGAAAATGAGATTTTTTGTTTCTTGCAATAGCATAATAGTTTATGTTTTAAATAATAGATTTTATTATAAAACTTATAATAAAACAAGAATTAGGTCGATAGGACTATCCGTTCAAAAGTTATAAGGGAAAATGTATAGTAAAAATGTAGCAACCTAGAAATTTAGATATTTTTGTTTTAAGACTTTTTTAAATAATTATTATATATTGAATATTATGTTTTAATATTGTATAATAGTATGTAAGGCATGTAAATAAATAAATATGTGTAAGGTGTTTTACTGAAAACATAAAATAAAAGGACTCTCAAGGTTTCGGTTTAGGGAAATTTTATTCGAAAAATGAGCTCAAAGTACGCGGCTCTCTGTAAGGTATTAACGGGCCAAATAAAAGGCGAGCCATTTCTCGATTCGAGTCAGTCGCAAGACAGCCACCGAAGAGGCAACAACTAAAAGGAAAAGGAAGAACCGAAACCAAGAGAGAAAAAAGGAAAAAATTGTGTTTTTATTTCATCGCCTCTAAGTATAGTCTCCTGTCAACGAAGAAACCCTAGTGGATCGGGACCCAAGCTACGCATTCAGGGGTGCGTGGTGGCGTACATTACCAGCGAACGGACATACTGCCGTGTACGCCAAGAACGTCTGGGAGATTGTCCCAGGTCGACCTCCGGGTACTAGACATACCCTGGTTCTGGTCGTCCGAAACAGGCTTAGTTACAATTTTATTATATGTATAGATTGATATCTGGAGGCGACTGCATCATTCTAGGTATTTTCTACAAAACAATTTTGAAGAAAACTCCCAACACAAACTTATCAATTATTTTTTATGTATTATTTTTTATTTTATTTTTATATATTATTTTTAAATGTAGACAAATAAAACTGTTTGTAGTACATTGTCCATAAAAAAATTTCTGACTAAGCAAATCATCGCTGTCAATCATCAAAACAATGTCGTAAATAGTTATCATTACCTGTGGTATTATTTTGGTATCATTGCTTTGGTATTATTTTTATTAGTGTTTTGAAAAATATATTTTAGATCAATCATTTACACTATAATATACTTAAAATATTACTGTAATTTTAAATTACACTAATCAAATCTTTTAAAGCTTAAAGTAAAAGATTATTATTATTAACTAGCGGCTCACTTTTTTCTTATTTATATTAGCCAGCGTTGGCCACATAGATTTTTTTCTTTCGTAATTTTTTCTGATGTCTTAATATTTCTATCCTATTCCGGATTAAGAGAAATTCAAAACATCAAATAGGTATCATCAAAATTGGTCCAGCCGTTCTTGAATTATAAATGGTGTAACTAACACGACTTTGTAGAAGCGAATAAAGTTAAAGAGTCTAGAAACAAGAATTATGGGATCTTATTTTACTGTAGAGAAATAATCTAAATTAAAAACATGGCTACGTCAATTGGCAGAGATCCAAAACGTTTGCTGCCCTTTGTATTACCTATATACGAAGCAAAAATGTATAGCAAACGTTATCTGTACATATTATAAAATTGTAACTCAGCCGAATTTGTACATTAAATATTTTTTGGAAAATCTTATTGAAATAAACATTATTATCGATACAGAGGCCGAATCTATGGTTTTTAGAATTTTTATCTGTCTGTCTGTCTATTACCGCATCACAGAGAAACCAGTGGAGGGATTTTGATGTAATTTGGTATGGTAACAGCTGGTTATCCGGGTCAACATATACGATACTTTTTACCGCGGGAAAATATCTCATTTCTGAGAAAAAATACAAAATTTGCAATACTAATATGTAAAACCTAAGAATTTGGTTTTTGGTCATCTGAACGCGGGCGGAGCCGCGGAAAATGCTAGTCTATTTAATAAAAATCTCAAATTCTTATTGACACTTAAGCCGCTGTCTATATGCGTGAATTTGCATAAGAGTTCCATATACTCGTACCTATAACGAACGTGCGCTAAGAAAGGGGTTTTGAAAATGCATCCCATAAAGAGTTCAGTAAAGGAGAAATGTTTTTACACATATTTACATTTTTAAAATTTGAAACTTGAAAGTTTATATTATATCGATTAAAAATATGGATGTTTGAAACTGCATCTTCTAAAGGAGTTAAATAAGGAATAAAAATATTATAAAAGCTCGTAATTTTTAAAATTCGAAACTTGAAAGTTTGTAAAAAGCCCTTCGTAGAAACTGTCAATAACAAATGTAATCATGGATGAAATGAAGAAAATGATGCATAAATACCGTTTCCGTAAATCGACCTTAAACACATATAATTCTACATTATTTATACCTATTTAAGGCCCGCTACGAAAACTTAAAATATTACATAAATAAAAGATTTAACAAAAGAATTTACCAACTTTCGAATTTAATAAAAACCAAAAGGTCGTACGAATTTTGTGAACAATAGAAGTTCGGAAAGATTATAGCCATTATCAGATTGTTAATCAGGAAAGTATTCTAAAAGTTAAACCCAAGAAAAATTCTAAATTAGCTTCGGTCGCTTGGAGATTTTCAAATTTTTACTTCATAATTTCGTAGGCTATTAGCTAAGATATCCCCGGTAAGCGCGATTTATCCTCTCTCCTTTAGAATTTTAAAATTAAATTCTTTTGTACACCATAATTAATGTAATAAATTTATATTTTTACATTAAATATTGAAATGATAGATAGTTTTCTTAGTTCTCCACTGAAGTGTATGAGAGATATCGTCATCTAACAAGACATTAAATAACCAAAGTTTAAAATAGTTTTAAAATGGAAAATTGATTTAAATAACTTTGAAATGGATTGTTATGTTTTTTTTTAACTTATGTACTAAAATGAATATAAATATCATTATTAAATAAAAAAATATATTTACCTTTTCGCCATCTATATCCCAGCTCAAAACTGTAGCAGGATAAGAACGGCCTGATGTACAATTTAAAAATAACGAATCACCTCGCCTGTTCTCTTGCTCATTCCCTGTTATTCGTGGGCCTTCTCGTGGTAAATCTAAAAAATTAAAATTAATTAAAAAAAAAACACATCTTCAAGTTTTTGTTTGAGTACCTATATACTTACTGTTAACTTTAATTTCAATTTTATTTTTGCTCACTAATGTAAACTATTATTATTCAGTTACTATGTTGTTGTCTTATTAGAATGCAGTGTTGCTTATAATTAGGGATCATTAAGACTAGATCTTCTTTTGTTTATTACCATGTACAATTGTAAGGTTATATACTCTGTTAGCGACCTATGTAATAAATAAAATAAAATAAAAATCAAACGCTATATCAGTGACGAAAGGTGTAATACTGACCTAAGCCACTGACTGTCTCAATAGTTTTTGCTTCCAGATAAGAATTAATTTGGTTCCAAGGCAATTACCCGATGAAGGCTAATTGAAATGAAGAAAAAACAAAAAAAAAGAACGTCCAACTAATGAGTTCCTTCTTAGTGAGTTAATTTTATCAAAAGAAAGTTTGGAGATAAAAAGTAAAATATTTTTACTGTGTCGCCTGTTTTTCTTTATTTTATTACTTTTCGTCTATGTGATGAAAAATGATAAAATATTTCAAGAACGATTGAGACCCTTATCAATCAAATAGAAAATTAAATATAAACAAGACAAAAAAAAGTTTTTCTTCGAAAGCTAACTTTCAGCTTATAAAAGTGATGTCAATTACAAGGAGAAAAGTTTACAGAATTGTTAAAAAAGACTTAGAGCAAAGTATCATTTTAAGTAGGTTGCCGTTATCCTTCCAACAATTTCTTATTAATGAAATGAATTAAATTATTATTATAATCACAAATCTTATCTTTCATTGCATGTCAACTATGTTAAACTAATTTCAATATAGGTATAGTTGTAGTTAGCAGTACATTACCACAAGTAGCGAGGTTGAGTATCGCTCAAAATATATAGCTTCACTACATAGTATAAAACAAAGTCGCTTTCCGCTGTCTGTCTGTCTCTAAGTATGCTTAGATATTTAAAAATAAGCAACGGATTTTGATGCGGTTTCTTTAATAGATAGAGTGATTCAAGAGGAAGGTTTATATGTATAATACATGAATATTAGGTATAGTAGGTAGGGACGAACCCGAGCGAAGCGAGTGAGTTGCTAGTTAAGAATACAATATAGGGCTGGTAAATGACGCTTAATTAGACTACTATCTAATCTAATGATACAGAAGTAAATTGACAAATTTGGATGAAGTACACAGATAGACTCTATGGCCTGAAGTAACACATAAGCTACTGTTAGGCACTCACTCGTAGGGACGCACCCAAGTAAAGTTGAAGGTAACTCACATGTAATATTATTAACGTGAATGTTTGTCAGTTTATTATATCGTATAAATCTCCATCACTCAAGTACTAGAATATACATAGCTAAATTCATCCATAGAAGATCATCCAGAAACTTTGATAAATACTATGATACGAACAAATGTTATTTCCTAAAGGTGTACTTTACATTCGGTATTATAGAATAAAAATATATATATTAAAATAACTAAGGGTTGTGTCCCGTGGTCGAAATATATCATTTAGACAATTTTTTTTACGTTTTTCTCATCGATTATAGAAAGTCAACAGATTAAGTCCCTCGTAAACAAGTCAAGTCTTGTCTACTGGGATAGATACGTTACTTCTTCTGGCATGTTGTATCCAACATGCCAGAAGAAGTAACTAATCGAATGGATGTAAGAAGTATATTGAAATTTTCTCCTAAGCTGTACTTTCTTCATCGCCGAATACGAATTAAGATAAAATATGTAAATTATTATGTCTTCCAAAAATATCCAGATATTTTTTATTACATTCACGTCTTTAAAATAAATAAATAATTGTAAATGTAAAACTAGTATTCGGTAATTGGGCTTAACTCTGAAAGGAAAAAAATTGACAAATCGCTTTTTTTCAAACAATAAGTACAAATTGTATTGCAATTTGTTAAATAATTTGCAAAACAACTAAAACAACTTTATGTAAGCCAAATAAAGAATATCAAGAATAAGAGAAAACAATTCTGATAAAAAAGTAATACAAAATTATAAACAAGTATATAATTATAAGTATTCTTGGTGCTTTGTGGTCAAAACTCAACCATACCTAATCATTATTGAAAATTTGAAGAAAACATGTACATATGAATAGAATTGTATAAAAAGAAAAATAAAATAATATAATAAAGTTTCCAAAATATTTCTATTGATAACACTAACTGATGGCTACTAAACAAACAATACATAAAAACTTAAAAAAAATAACCGACTTCCAGGCACTAAAATGTAAGAAATATAAACGGAGGTTTTCATTTAGAATAGATACCTAATCAGATATTTTCGAAGTCGGTGCCAGCCGATGCAAAGCAAATCTAATATATTTCGATATGTAAAATACATATTACCTATTAGATATTCATATCTTAAAATATTGTAGGCTGACACCGACTTAGGGAAAAGAAAGGTTTTTTATAACATATTCCATTAAACAATGTATTTAAAAAATATATTTATTGTTTATTTATTAAAAAACCGCTCGACCGATTTTGATAAAATTTATATGAGACCACCTGGGATGTATTTGAAACAAAAAAATCCGACGAATTGAGAATCTCCTCTTTTTAGAAGTCGGTTAAAAAGAAAATCGGTTGACAGATAGAGGAGAAAAAGGTACCAAAATCTTTTGTTTTAGCCTATTTATATGTGGATATTTAGTACTTGGTATTGATTTTATATTATACTTACAAATTACTTCCATTTTACTCTCTCCCGCAGCAGATGCAAAGCTGGGTGCCTCAGCTGAAACTTCGCATCGGTATAGACCTGACGATTTTAATGTCACCGGATGAAGTACCACTTTTTTGTCATCGGATTTTGATAGCTAAAAATAAGCTTTTGGTTAAACAAATCTAATTTAAGATATAAAGCCTTGATAATTGTATATGCATATTTTGGGATGACTTCAAAACGGATTTTGATTCGGGGTATGGATATGCGTGCGTGCGTGCCTGCATCCATGCGTGCGTGCATGCATACGTGCTTGTATGTGTGTGTTTGTGTGTGTGTGTGTGTGTGTGCGTGTGCGTGTGTTAGTTATAAGTGGATTTTACCAATTATTTAGTATATCAATTATTAGTATTTTGAGTTAAGTTTAAAAAGTTATTGAAATTAGGAATAATTTATAAGCGTGTAAAATCGTAAAATGTAATGTTACACCGCATCAAAATGACCCTCTATAAAATTGGTGACACAATTTCACGACATTTTTGTGTTAATATTGATGTCATTAAGCCAAACGAAAAAAGTGACGCTTAGTCAAGATAAAGTGTACGTAACTAGTATCACTAATGTAGATAAGTGAAAATGTAAAAAAAAACATTACTTAATCAAAAAAAATATTTTTGATAATTTGGTTATCAATTAGAAATATCATGTATAACAAAAATATATTCAATTATTTGAACTAAAATACTTTCAGATAGTTCAGTTTCAGTTCTAAATTCTTTAACTAATTAAAATTAAATATAAGCAGCAGTTTTATAATTCATTGGACAGAAATTACGACAAACAAATCGTTCAAGTAACTTCAAGCTCATTTAACCTTATATTAAGTCCTTGAGTACTTCTTAGTGGAATGATTTAAAGAAAGTACTTACATCGACTTTGATCCCCTCAAGTTTGTAAGAGTGTTTAGGCGGCTCATATTTAGGCATATATCGATAGAACTCTTCATTATCTCTGTACCATTTTACTGAGTAAAGTTTGTCATCACCTAGCTCGTAATCGCAGTCCAGTTGTGCTTGCTGACCTCTCAAACGATGCGAAGGGATCGAGACACGAACTATCCTCAGTAATAAGGATTCTGTAACAAGAAAATTAATCTTCTCAAGAGCACTTCAACTACGTTTGGCATCATTTATTATAAGATACACCTAATATTGTCAGCGGTCATGGTATGAAAGACAAGTGTGGTTTTTATATACATTCATATTATATTATATTAATAAATATGTATATGTATCAGTGGCGAAGGGCGAAATTTTATATATATATATATATATATATATATATATATATATATCCAAAAGAACATTTATACATTAAAAAAATTATGTATGTAAAATTATAGCAAAATAATTTTAAGGTAAGACGTCTTGTATGTGTCGTAGGATGATTTGATAGTTAGAATTTTCGTGAAAACCCTAGGGACATTGCGAAAACACGGATAGTTAGACAATGGTTAGGTAAGTTTTATTTTTTGACTAGAACGACGACGTTTTAAATAGATATAAACCAATTTTTTTTGTAAATAATATTGACAAATATTGACATTAATATTTATACGAATCTAACGTCACTCAATTGCCATCAATGTTTTGCCTTCCCGGAACCTCTCCACTAACACTTAAACTTTATGGTATGGTATTAAAGTTCAAATTGACTTTTAAGTATTATTACGAATCTTCTGTATGGGAGTATAGTAAAATGTAGTTTTTAGACTTTTTCAGGCAATTTTTTAAATTTTTCTCTCCGTAAGAACCATCCTCGTACTTCAAGGAATATTCTAAAAAAAGAATTAGCGAAATCGGTTTAGCTGCTCTCGAGATTTGCGCTTACCAACACATTCAGCGATTCATTTTTATATTATTGAATAATGTGACAGTTCCGACTTGGATAACGTAGATCGAGAAGGCTAAGAAGAAAAGGCAAAGGCTAAGAATGGTTAGGTTAGAACATGTTTTTGCAAAAACCCTATCTTTTTCCAGTAAGATTGAGAAAAGTTTTCACCAATGTCTAATTATCCGTGTTTTCACTATGCGTAGGTATTTTGCGAAAATTCAAATAATTAAATTATCCTGCAACATATGGACGCTTCGCCACTGATACGTATCATGTATGTTATAAGCTTTACTCAACCACGTGATAGATAAAGATATTTTATGTTCTAATTTTGGTCAAACATGTATTATAATGAATAGACATATTATGTGTATTTCATTTTCATTTCCCATTCATATCTCATTCAAATATTTGAATGATATAGAGGAAATTATAACTTTCTACGTGGTCATGATAATTTGTTAGAGTTTAACATTAATTGTTAGTATATTCTTTCTGTTTATATATTTATAGAGTTTATTTGAAATTATTCTCATATAGTGAATTTCATATATTTAGTCCTAGAAGAAAGGGCTGACCACATTGTATAGTACTCATAATACAAAGTCTATGAATGGTATTGTGTGGTAGATTTAGTTTAAAGAAAGTAATTTGTAAGCAAAAAGTTGGCCGCGAAGAACGTTTGCAATATAATTCGAATTTATTTGTTAGATTGTATCGAGTGAAGATTTAAGGGAATGGATTTGCGACCATGGTCGCGTTTACCTATTACAGATACCAGTTTTATTTTTCATACTTTAAATCTCATTTGTTTTGGGAAATATATTTTTTTATAGATATTCTTTATAAGTGTATTGTGAAAATATTTACAATATTAACAATACCTATTAATCTTCTTACTGTTTGTATGTATTATTTGATTGTTCTTGCTATATTTGTAAAGAAAGTTTTGGTGAAACAAGCTTGTAGCTTATAAATAAGAGGAAAAAAAATAAATGATTAGGTCCAAGATATCCAATAAATTAAAAAGATTTTTTTCGTTACTTATATGATATTTTACTTTTATTACCTTATATAATTGTTAGGTCCATGTAATCGAATAATTATATTGTTAAAAATGTTATCATTTTCAAAGGAATAAAAATGTATACAGACGTTACATAAGAAAACCTAAAGACGTATGGATAAAAATCCATTAAGATTAAGTCTGTTATTTTAAAGATATACATATAGATAGAAGTCTTTTTAGAAACGATGTCAATATTCTGTATTTTACTACACGACATAAGAAACAAGAATTCATCCTTAAATAAGCTACTATTACTTATTAAAATCTCCAGGTAAATTTCTAAGAAATTAATTAAAATTCTAAGAAATCTATTGTTAATTGACACGCCGGCGTGTCCGCTATAGTGGAGGCATTCAAATACAAACAAAGGTACATACATTTTAAATAAAACTATCTTTTCGGATTTTGTCGCGGATTTATTTGTATTTTTGTTTCCCGACGTTTCGAATGCTTTACAGCATCCATGGTCACGGGAGAGACTGAGGTGTTACATGTCTTAAAGATATAGTTGTTACAGACAGCCTACCCACAATTAACAAAATGAAAATTGCATCAATTACATTACAATATTTTAACTTTAAATATTTTTATAATTTTAATTATAATTGAATATGGAAAATTATTTATTTAATTTTTGCTATTATACCCAAATTTCAATAGGGAAGATGGCTGGGTACTACCATCGTCATGGGATCCTGTTATTAATATAATAAAATCTAATAATAAATCTAAACATAACAGACAGGTAGATGTAGTAAGTTCTTACTGTGTAGATCAAAATGATAGCATTTCTGATTAATAATATTTTTTCACTTTTTCATTTGTAAATGTATGTAGTAATGTGTTGCTTAATAATTTGTTTTTAAATAATAGCAAATTTAAATTAAAATTATTATTTTTTAATTAATCTTAACTTTTTCAAATTACACATAGATCAATTGTGGCTTAAATAATTAATACTATATTTTATATTTTTCTTATGGTTATAAATATAATAATGGCAACACTAAATATAGATTGCTAATTAATATTTTTAAAATTGTAATAATTATAAAAATAATAGCAAAAATTAAATAAATAATTTTCCATATTCAATTATAATTAAAATTATAAAAATATTTAAAGTTAAAATATTGTAATGTAATTGATGCAATTTTCATTTTGTTAATTGTGGGTAGGCTGTCTGTAACAACTATATCTTTAAGACATGTAACACCTCAGTCTCTCCCGTGACCATGGATGCTGTAAAGCATTCGAAACGTCGGGAACCAAAAATACAAATAAATCCGCGACAAAATCCGAAAAGATAGTTTTATTTAAAATGTCAAATATTCGCGTAAATCTAAGAAAGTATTATAGGTACATACATATTAGTTTCTTCACGTTCCTACATCCTTACTTTATACTACTTACCTACTACTATTTACTTATGTGGACGTGCAGATTAATAAACTCTTTAGTTTTATATATTAGTATAAAATTGATAGCGGTAGTATCAAGCTCTTCATCACGTTGCAGTTTTTAAAAGCGGAATAGTTATATATAGATAAACTACGCGAGCGGAACCGCAAGCAAAATTAAGTCAATTAATTTTAGCTTTCTTCAGTTTTAAACTCCATATAAATTTTATAACTAGGTACGCAAAAGCAAATTTTCGGATGCACAATATGCTTATAAAGGAGTACAAAGTTTTATTCACATATTAATATATAGTAGATATATTATTCTATTTTATCTATATCTATACATATAATAAAATTCTAACCGAGTGGAATCTGTACATTGAATATTTTTTGGAAAATTTATTGAAATAGTCATTTTTATCGATAGGTACAGAGGCAGAATCTATTTATATTATATAGGTTTTAGAATTTTCGTCTATCTGTCTGTCTGTCTGGGAACACCACTGGACGGATTTTGATGAAATTTGGTATGATGATAGCTGGTTATCCAGGATATGGTTATATAGGATATTTTTTTAAATATCTCATCTCTGAAAAATCTATACTAACCGTTAAAACGTACGTGGGGACTAACCCGAGTGGAGCGAGAGTGAGTCGCTAGTTATATATAATACTGTTTATTATGTCTAAATACACTTTAATTCCTTTTTAAGTGAAATAAAATACGTATGTGGGCTCATTATAGTAATGAGATGTAAAAAATGTGTGAAAACTTCAAACCCGCTCTAAAATATTTACAAAGTGAATAATAAAAAGTTCAAAATAAGAGAAAATATAATAAGGTATCTTGTTAGAGAAAATAAAAAATAATATAAAGTAAAAGGAATCTCATCTATCAAGATAATCTATGAAATTTCCATAAAGCTCATATGGATATTTACCAAATATTAAAGTCGGTACCTCCTTAATCCCTCCACGACCGCGGACACGCCGGCGTTACAGTTAATAATAGATTTCTTAGAAATTTAATTAATTTCTTAGAAATTTACCTGTAGGTGATAACGACTGATTTGATTTTAAAGGGAATTTTTGAAGTTATACTTTTTTTTGGCACGTTTAGAAAAAAATATGAGAGTAAAATTTTTACGATGCCTTCGCACACCGACAGCCAAAAAGCGACATGATGAGTTAGCTGAAAGCGACATGATGAAGTTAGCTGCATTCCTTTTACAAACAGAGAGTTGTGACATATGGGATGAAATCTTTAGCTATTTTTGTTCTGTTCCGCCAAACAATTATAACTTCTTACGTGCGTACATAAATACACACACACGTCTTTTAAAAAAAACATTTATTGCACAATGTATGAACTTAATACTAAAACCAATCTCTACCAGTCGATTTTTAGGGGACAAAGGAAGATTATACAAAGGTTGGATTTTTGTGGATTCAAAAGAGAAATAAATATACTTCTTTTATCCCGAAGATAAATAAAAAGAAAGTTTCTAAAGGATAATAGAAGACGATTTAATCGATTATAACTGGTATTTTAACTGGTAGGTACAGAATTCCTTCAAAGTTCAAATATTCTACTTGGGATAGAAGTTTTATGAGTTTTATGGTATGCAGTGAGGAAAGGGTCGGCCTCAGAGTAGTAGGGCGAGTGGCTACTTATTATTAGTACTGTACATAAAATGTTGAATATGTCTAAAGTACGGTAAGCTCTATGTCGTTTCTCGAATTAGGCTGTTGAAAATTATATAGAAATTA